CCCATCAGAATGACTAAAATGAAAACGACCGACAGTACCTAGTGTTGGTGAGGATATGAACTGATAAATTGCTGGTGGGAATATAACATGGTATAACCATTTAGGAAACCATTTTGGCTGTTTCGGATAAAGTACAGGTGACTTTTTAACAAGGCGGGGGTTAGAAACACCGACCCCTGACACCACCCTCCCACCCCCCAAGCACAGTGGAAAATCCACATGTAACTTTACAGTCAGCCCTCCAAATCTACAGTTCTGCATTTGTAGATTCAACCAACCATGGATCGTGTAGCATTCTGGTACGTATTTAGTGAAAGAAATCCATATATAAGTGGACTCATGCAGTTCAAGGGTCAACTATATACACTTATTATATGACCCAGTAATGGAAATATATGTCCTCAAAGAGAATTACATACAAATGTTCATAGCAATTTTATTCAAAATAGCCCCAAACTGGAAAAAATCCAAATGTCCACTCAGGTGAATGGATGAACACACTATGGTAAATCCATACAATGGAATTCTACCCAGCAACAAAACAGAATAAAGTACTGATATACACAACAATATGACTGAATCTCAAAAACATTTAATGAGTGAAAGAAGCCACACATAGGGCTTCCCTCGTGGCACAGTGGTTGAGAATCCACCTTCCAATGCAGGGGATGTGGGTTCAAGCCCTGGTCTGGGAAGATCCCACATGCCACGGAGCAACAACGCACGTGTGCCACAACTACTGAGCCTGTGTTCTAGAGCCCGCAAGCCACAACTACTGAGCCTGCATGCCACAACTGCTGAAGCCCGTGCACCTAGACCCCATGCTCCGCAACAAGAGAAGCCACCACAATGAGAAGCCCGCACACTGCAACAAAGAGTAGCCCCTGCTCACCACAACTAGAGAAAGCCCATGTGCAGCAACAAAGACCCAACACAGCCAAAAAAAAAAAAAAAGCCACACACAAAAGAGTGCCTAGTGTATGATTCAATTAATATAAAATTCAGAACAGGCAAAACTAATCAATAGTGGCAGCAAGCAGATCAGGGGTTGCCTGGGGGCAGGGGGAGGGAATGACTGCAAAGGGCACAGGGATCTTTTGTTTAATATCTTGACTGTGGGTGGTGACTACAGGGGTATATACATTTGTCAAAATTCTTTGAACTATATACTTAAATAGGTGCATATCATTGTATGGAAATAGAGTTGCCTCCATAGAGCTGATTTTCCAAAAGTACAGGGGAATCCGAGTTCAACTAACCTCTAAAATGCCTAGCACATGCAAGATTTGGCAGATATAAAAGAGAAGGGATAATGAAGCAAACATTTATCCAGCACCTGTAGTGTGTTACAATAGCAGATACTTAGTAAGTATAAGGAATGGTCCTGTTTTCAAAGAAGTATAAGATGCGGTCCCTTCCCTAGAAGGATTTATAATATAGTGGTTTGAGCTATTATGAAAAAAGATAACAATTCAAGTTGGCATTGACATACTAAATGAGAATTGTAAACAGGTGCTTAGGAGTAGGAAGAGGAAGGGCTGCCCAAGCAAGAGCCACAAGTCCCAACCAAGGCACCAGGGAAGAAATGCAGGAGCCTTTTTTTTTTTTAATTGGGGTATAATTTACAATGTTGTGCTAGTTTCAGGTGTACAGCAAACTGAATCTGTTATACATATACATATATCCACTCTTTTTTAGCTTCTTTTCCCATACAGGCCATTCGAGTATTTAGTAGTGTTCCCTGTGCTATAGAGTTGGTCCTTATTAGTTATCTATTTTATATATAGTAGTGTGTATGTGTCAACCCAATCTCCCAATTTATCCCTCCCCCCGGGAGCCTTTTTGAAAGATAGTGATCTGACCTATTTGGTTAGAGCAGAAGGCCTGAGTAGGTCAGACTGAAGAAATAAATGAAGAAATAAATGACCACGTAGGACAGGGAATCAGGAGCCCTTGAAAAAAAGACACCCTGAGGAGTCACTTAAGGTTTCTGAGTAGGTCCCAGGATTTTAAAAGGGTAGAGAATGGATCAGAGGGAAAAGGGAAAGAAATTACAGGCAGAACAGTTAGAAGAAAATTACAATAACCCTGGTTTGCCATGACGGGTATCTAGACAAAGGCGGCAATGAGAACGAAGGGGTCGATGCTTCCTGCTGCCAAGCTCAGAACCAACATCAAAAAGAACTAGTGTGGGGACTTCCCTGGTGGCGCAGTGGTTAAGACTCCACCCTCCCAATGCAGGGGGCCTGGGTTGGATCCCTGATCAGGGAACTAGATCCCACATGCATGCTGCAACTAAGAGCTTGCAGGCTGTAACTAAGAGTTTGCAAGCCACAACTAAGGAGCCCACCTGCTGCAACTAAGACCCGGTGCAGCCAAAAAAATAAATATTTTTTTAAAAAAGAAAACAAAGAAAAAAGAACGGGTGCCCAATGTTCAGGTTGAGGGCGAGCTGAGGAGTTGGCTGTCCTTACCTCTTTCAACACAATCTTCATTAGCTCTGCTGGCACTCTAGGCACGCCCAACACACCAAAAACACAATTTGGTGGACTCTACTCAGCTGAAATTGTGCTGATGGATGCATGGATATTCAGTGGGAGGGAGGTTTTTTTTTTTTTTTGCAGTACGTGGGCCTCTCACTGCCGTGGCCTCTCCCATCGCGGAGCACAGGCTCTGGACGCGCAGGCCCAGCGGCCATGGCTCACAGGCCCAGCCGCTCTGCGGCATGTGGGATCTTCCCGGACCGGGGCATGAACCTGTGTCCCCTGCATTGGCAGGCGGACTCTCAACCACTGCGCCACCAGGGAAGCCCCGGGAGGGAGGTTTTTCATCACAAGTCTCGGGGTTCTATCCTTGGTGGCATCCTAGTCAATATCTTTATCAATAATTTGGGTGAGGAAACAGATGGTATGCTAATCAAATTCTTGGATAGCACAAACCTGGAAAGGAGATCAAAGTCAAGCTCCAGGAAGGTCTCAACAGGCAGAAATGATGGGCCAAATCTAATAGATTCAATTTAACTGTAAGAGACTCGATATTAACTCCTACACTTAGGTTCAAAAACTACTGTAGTAAACTACTATAAATGGCTTAATTAAATGCATTTTCAAAATAAACGGCATGGCCGCCCAGAGTTCACTCACATTTAGGCTGCATTAACAGATATGCCAAGTCCCCCAAAAGACAGGGGTAAGTCTCATTCCTGTACATTTCAGAGCACACCTGAAATATTTTGTTCATTTGTGCATCACACACTTTAAGGACACTGACTAAAATGGAAGGCTTCCAGAAAACAGCAACCAGGTTGGAGAAACTATCACATGAGAATTAATGGAAGGGACAGAAGATGCTTGGCCAGGACACCTAAAACACATCAGGTTAGAGCAGAGACAGAAGGGCATGATGGCTGCCAGGGGAAAGAAGGGCCAGGCTTACTCTGGGAGGCTCCAAAAACAGGGACTAGATTAGGGGGAGGAAGCTATATGGAGGCCGACTGGGACTTAATATGAGCAATATCATTTTTTTTTTTTTTTTTTTTTTTGGCTGCATGGCTTTTGGGATGTCAGTCCCCATCAGGGATTGAACCTGTGCCATGACAGTGAAAGCCTGGAATCCTAACCACTAGGCCACCAGGGAACTCCCAAGCAATATCTTTTATACATATTAGAACTGTATTAAAAAAATGGAAGAGGCCACCCTGAGAGGCAATGAGCTTCCCATCATTAGAGGGATCCAAGCAGAGGTGGGGAATTATGGAGCTAATAAATACATCAGGTAGCAAATAAGAAAGAGATGGCTTTTTATGGTCTCTTCTAACTCCGAGAGACTATGAAATCAAGAAATCCAGTAGCATCTACCTATGAAAAGATGCTCAACTCTACCCACAATAAGAGACATTCAAATTAGACTACCCCAGGGGAACAAAGCTGGAATATTTTCACCACTGGACATCAAGGTTTTATAAAGCTACAGTAATCGATGCAGTGTGGTATCGGCCTGGTAATAGAGCCTAGAAATAGACCCAGACATATGTGGTCAATTGATTTTCGAAAAAAGGTATAAAGGCAATTTGGTGAAAAAAGTCTCTTCAACAAATTGTGCTGGAACAATTGAATATTCAGATGCAAAAACAAACAAAAAAAAACTTGTAAATATAGCTTGTACCACATACATTTAACTAAAAATGGATCATAGACCTAAATGGAAAAGTGAAACTATAAGATTTCTAGAAGAAATAATGGGAGAAAATCTTTGTAACTTTGGGTTGGATTTCTTAGAATCAATACCAAGAGCATAACCTACAAAAGAAGATATTAATAAACTGGAACTGAGTGGCTGAGGATAGGAGTGGGAGGAAGAATTTTCACTGTATATACTTTTGCGCCTTTTGATTTTCAAACCATATGAATACACCAAATGTATCTTTAAAGAATCAGCAACCTCTCACTCCTGGGGATATATACCCGCAAGAAGTGACAACAGGGACCCAAACAGATATCTGTACTCTCATGTTCACAGCAGCACTATTCACAATAGCAAAGGTGGAAGCAACCTAAGTATCCATCAACAGATGAATGGATAAACAAAATGTGGCCTATACATACAATGGAATATTATTAAGGCTTCAAAAGGAAGACAATTCTGACACATGCTACCACATGGATGAACTGTGAAGACCTTACGCTAAGTGAAATAAGCCAGTCACAAAAGGACAAATATTGTATGATTCCTCTTATTTGAGGGTCCTAGAGTAGTCAAATTCCTAGAGACAGAAAGTAGAATGGTGGTTGCCGGGGACTAGAGGAGGGGGGAATGGGAAATTAAGTGTTTAATGGGGACATAGTTTCAGTTTGGGAAAATAAAAAAGTTCTGGAGATGGATGGTGGTGACGGCTGTGTAACACTGTGAATGTACTTAATGCCACATAACTGGTTAAAATGGTAAGTTTTGTATTACGTATATTTTACCACAATAAAAAAACCTCAGCAACTTCTGGGAATTCCCTGGCAGTCCAGTGGTTAGGACTTGGCGCTTTCACTGCCAAGGCCAAGGTTCGATCCCTGGTTGGGGAACTAAGATCCCAAAAGCCACGCGGTGTGGCAAAAAAAAAAAAATCTGATTTTGCAATTGGTTCTGGCTTACATTACAAGGAATATTCACCCACTGCATTCCATGTCAACTTTAGGGATGTTTATATATTTTTTTCAAATATTTATTTATTTAGGCTGCTCCTGGTCTTGATTGGGGCATGCGAACTTCTTAGTTGAGGCATGCATGCAGGATCTAGTTCCCTGACCAGGGATTGAACCCAGGCCCCCTGCATTGGGATCATGGAGTCCTACCCACTGGACCACCAGGCAAGTCCCTATGCTCTTTTCAATACACCTTTGAGTCTCTCTCCAGTATATATCTTTTTGCAGGTGTTTCCCAATATTTTTCTCTTCACCTTCCTACTAAGGAAGACTGCTATCAGGAATCTCTTTTTCAGGATGATCCTGAAATTAAGAGAACTGGGTTCATATCATTACACTATCTCTAGTTTCCCAAAGGCCGCTGTGAGCCCTGAAAGGGTCTCCTTCCCTTGGGCAGCCCTCATTCCCCATCACTCTAGGCCTTTGGATGCAGGCATCAGGCTGAGTCTAAATCTGGTCCTTAACCTACTTGCCACGCCATGTGATCCTGTTTACTACTGGCTCGGCAACCACAAGCAAAGCTTATTATTACACGAACCCCTGGTCACCAAACCACACATTTCTGGCTGGCTGGTCCCTTCAGAAGAAAAACATTCCT